ATAGCGGCCAACACGTCAATAGGCAAAAATACTGAATTGGATCTATATATTGCGGCACCACTATCAAATCTCAAGGCAGATGCCCTCAATATATGGAGAAGCTCTGAAGGAACTTTCCCTAAACTAACCGAATTGGCTTTTAAACACCTCTCAGTGATGGCCAGTTCCGCGCCAGCCGAAAGATTATTTTTGAAAGCGGGAAATATTGTCAGGAAAAAACGAAACCGTATTTTGGGAAAGAGACGAAGCAGAATTTTGGTGAAATGATTGTTTTTAAAGTCTTTAACTGAAAATTCATGGCAATATTTTTTTTACTTTTTTTTTTCACAAGTTTAAAAAAAAATTTGTCTTGTATTTTAGTTTTGAGATCAAAAGGTTGTCGTCAGATTTTTTATAATTATATTTTTATTTTATTTTCATTCTAATCCAATGTAAATGATACTGAACATTAGTGGCATAATGATATTTAGACTTTTTGCTTGTTGAAACTTAGTTTAAAAAAACTATCGTTTACTAAAATTATGGTTTCTTAATGATTTCTTATATTTACGCGAAGACTACACATTAAATGAAATTATTTTTTACGGATTTGATCACGCTTAATTTAACTTTTTAATTCCTGACCTTTCGGGTGCTTCACAGCACCTATGGTCACGGGGGGAACTGAGGTCTTTGACGTCCAGATGTCATAGTTAGCCTGGCTAAATTCAGTTTTTGAATATAAATTTTTGGTCCGATCTACGCAGAATGAGCTTACAGTATCTTGAAGTCTTACAGTGGTATGCTTGGGTTTGGATTTAATTTTATTAATTATAGGATGCCAAGCAGATGGCAGCACCCATCGATCTTCTCTATTGACATTAGGATGTTTTTTTAGTTTCGATAACCTCGCGAATCATCCTTGGTAGGAATCGGTGTTCTTTTGCGAGGATTTGTGGTTCAACTATGACATAGGGACGTCAAACACCTCAGTCCCCTCTGTGACCATGCGTGCTGTAAAGCACCTGAAATGTCGGGGATTAAAAAGTTAAATTAAATGCGATAAAATCCGTAAAACTTAGTTTAATTTATCGTTTCTGTTTATTTTGGTTGTAATAAATTGTTAAATGGCACTGAACATTTGTGGCAGTAATTATGTTTAGTTTTTTATTGTTCAGTTATATGTTAAAAAATTGTTTTGTAGTTTATTTCTAAAACCAGAAGATTATTTTTCGAATAAAATATTTTTTTTCTCAAAAATCGATTATATTTTTATAAAAAATTCGGTTTTTCTTAAACCGATTATTATCACAAAGCAAAAAATCGATTTTTTATTAATCGATTTTTTTCACTCAATGTCACATCCGTACATCAAATAGTAAAAGAATAGTTATTTTCTATGTGAAAATTGTAAAAAGTTTGCATAGGAGGGTGGATTGAAAAGTACTCGGCCTAACACAGATCCATTCAATTCTAAAAATCAAATCTACCCACATTATTTAGTTCAGTTCAGACTAGTTCATTGTGTGAAGTTCGAAACGTGTGCGATAATTAGTTGTGATTTTATAAATTTATTAACAAAGTAATCTGACATAATTTCCGCGAATGGAGCAAATCGAGCAGCGTGCCGTCATTAAGTACCTCCATAAGAAGGGGCTATCATCAAAAGCCATCCATGATGACATGGTCAGTACATTAGGCGATTGTGCTCTGTCATAATATTCATCCGTCAAAAAATGGATAGCAGAATTTAAGCGTGGTAGAGAGAGTGGGAAAGATGAACCCCGCTCTGGAAGGCCTTCGACGTCAACTACTGACGAAAATATTAAAAAAGTACTTGATTTAATAATGGGAGACCGCAGATTAAAAATTAGAGAGATAGCCGAGATTATAGGCATCTCTTATGAACGAACTCAAAACATCATTGTCAACGAGTTGGGTTTCCACAAGGTGTCTGTGAGGTGGGTTCCGCGACTGCTTTCAGTTGAACAAAAAAGGACGCGATTGACTATTTCACGCGACTGTTTGGAGTTATTTGAAGCCGATGCAGATGATTTTTTGAATCGTTTTGTTACTATGGATGAAACATGGGTTAATTACTGTACACCGGAAACAAAACAACAATCAAAACAGTGGAGAAGACCTGGTTCACCACCCCCTAAAAAGGCTAAGTCGATTTTGTCAGCAAATAAGGTGATGGCTTCAGTATTCTGGGACTCGAAAGGTGTGATTATGATTGATTATCTTGAAAGGGAACAGAATATAAACTCTGATTACTACTGCACCTTACTACGTCGTTTACGAGAGGAAATAAAAGAAAAACGTCGAGGAATGCTCAGAAGAAAAGTCCTGTTTCATCAAGATAATGCCCGTGTTCACACGTCAGTACAGTCAATGGCTGAAATTCACAACTGTGGCTTTGAACTGTTACCGCATCCGCCGTATTCACCTGATCTGGCACCATCAGACTTCTTTATGTTCCCTAACCTAAAAAAGCACTTGGGAGGTCAAAGATTTTCGACAAACAACGAGGTCAAAGCAGCTGTAGACGCATATTTTGACTCTAAGGAAGAATCATTTTTTTTCAACGGTCTAAATGCTTGGAAGGGGAGGTGGCAAAAGTGTATTGAACTTGATGGTGATTATGTAGAAAAATAAAAATATAACTGATTTAGTATTTTTGTTTATTTTCTTGGTTAGGCCGAGTACTTTTCAATCCACCCTCGTAATTTAAACATTATCATATATAATATTAAATTACGCCGTAAACTGTAATTCCAATAAGTATACCAACTTATTTGAATTTAAATATTTTAGTAGTTTAGTTATATTTGTTTTTTCCGTATCTTTTTTAAGAAGAAATTAATTTGTAAACATAAATTAAGATTTACCATACTTGCAATCCAAACTTATTAGTTTGGATTCGTGATGTCCCAGGCACTACAGCGTCCAGAATAGCTGGCCCAAAATTATTGTCGCTGTATAAATCATCTTTAGATGTAAAGGCCAAATTTTCTATTAAAACAAAACTCGAATTGTCAATATATACCAACTTAAATGAATTTAATAGGCTAATTATATTTGTTTTTTTTTTCTGTATCTTTTGTTATGAATAAATGAATTTGTAAGCATAAATCTTATTTTACTATAACTTGTATTCCTCGCCAGAAATACATAATTGCGATCGGTTCTGGTTTTCCAAGATTTATTCTATTAGGAAATATGATTCTAAAATAATTAATTATTATAATTCTAGAGATATGTTTATAGAAATAATGTTTAATTATGGAAACATATTTTTTTGTAGAATAAATCTTGGAAAATCCAGATCGATGAAAAAAATTTAATTACTGTGATTCGAATTTTCCCACTCAAATTTTATCTGCCCCAACGATAGATGGCGCTGAATTTTGTTCCCATCCATTTTATATGGAGTTAACATTCTTCTCCACTAGGATTAAAAGTATTCTGTGCTTCAGAGTTTACGTGAATGTGCTCCTTATTGTTATTATCTGCCTCCTGTTTTTAGACGACTTTACTACCCCTCTGGAGACTGATTGCTTGTTATTTTACGTTTTTGGAAATGGTGGAAGTTAACATTTTGGTGTTTTATTTGGTGTGAAGCGAGCTCAGGACTTGGGGCACCCCGACTCGGACAGGTTAGGTTACAAGGGTTAACCTTCGTGGTTATTTTTTATAAACCATCCAGAAATAGGAGCCCTGCAAAGAGGGGCTCCGTCGACCGAGCTTCCCTCGACTGCGCCACGTTGAGTGGCATTGGGCTACCCTCCCCCATCTCTGCCCCCACAAATCAGGTTTATATTCTCAAAAACATTACATAAACATAAACACAAGAGATTTTTAAAAATTTATAAAAACAAAACTAAGCACGTCTGGCAGGAAATGGAAGTGGGGGGTGACTCTAAAACTCCCCTCCCCCTCCCCCCACCACCAAATTCAGGCGACTCGATTCTAAACCTTACCCTCTAATTTAGCTTATCATCCCAAAAGTTATAATACTTATTTACTTAATAAATAGATAAAAATGAACATTATTAAAATTATCATACTTATTATTTACTCAATAAATAGATACAAATACACATTTGCTAAACTTTGTTTCGGCAGTTGCGATAGCGTAAAAATGCAATAAAATTGAAGTTATGTTATAACAATTTTTGAGGAATATTTCTTGTGCTTTTTATTATTTTTATAATATTGATTGCATCCTTGGATGCTTTTCGCATGTTATGGATATGGGATTTTATTTCACTACAGTTTATTATTTTTTCAACACTACCTAAGGCTTTTATTTTGACCAAGAAATTATCTGTGTGCACGAGTGATAGTACAACATTACGATTCAAGCAGATATCGAACAACTGAGACTGAGTGACTAAGATAAGCATTCCATACAGATTTTACAGATACAGTTTAAACTGCTTAGTAGTACTGATGACTGAATAGAGCTAATAGAACTAATAGAATGAACTAGTTCACTATCTGTAATGAACTAGTACGGAGCGATCTTTAAAATGACCGAGCAGGCACAAGACTAATATTTTTATTTTATTTTTTTATAGGATAAGGGTGACAAACGGGCACACAGTCCACCCGATGGTAAGTAGCCACTGCGGCCCATAGACTTCTATGTCTATCCTCCATTACAAATCAAAATGTAGATGCGTTGTCACCCGTGAGGACCAAAATGGAATGCCTCATTTCCAGTAAAAAGGGCCTCCGGCCACCCGCACTCACCAAGCGAAACGCAGAGGTAAATCTCTACTTCACGCTGGTTTTCTGTGAGGTCGTGGTACCACCCCGGTTCGAGCCGGCCCATCCGTGCGACAGCAAAAGCTGCCACGTGGCTCTACCACTGATAATTTTTACATGAAAAATTATTAAACAATTTCAAGCTGTAACCAAAGAATTTATTACTTAAGTATATTACTTTTCCTTACACTACAAAAGTTATTAATGTTGCATTTGACATTAACTAAGAAAATAGATAGTTTACTATTTTAAGTCTTCGGCATAGGTTTCTTCCTTGTTATATAAAATTCTTCTCTAGTGTGGTATGGGGCATATGGATCTTCCACATAATACTTTGGTTTCTTCCAATATTTAGTAACCATTTTGTCAAGCAAAGTACTCTGTGTTGAATTACAAAATACATGCTGCCTCAATCTCCTTCTCTGTGGTGGAGACTTTTTCCACATCTTCTTATGTCTTCCGACTTTAGTTCGTATCCATCCACCCCAATGAAGTCTAAAAAATCTTTTTACTGCTGCTTTAACAGTTTTCCTCTTTCCTTTCTTCAGGCTAAATTTTGTTACCGTTCTTACATGCACAGGCCACATATTATGAGATAAATCTAAAATATGTTTGTTATTTACAAGGCTTTCTTTTAAAAGTGGAACAACAGGAGGTGCATTGTTTCTAGCACTTAGGGATGTAAAGTTCTTTACGTCGTGATAAATAATTTTGCTTGCATTTTGATAAGGTACACGCAGGGGCGCAGTTCGAAGAGGTGCTGTTCGAAGAGCTGGAAAGCAAAATAAACGTATGTAAAATAACAGAATAACGTTTTGATCTGGTAAAAGTTACAAAAGTTAACCCCTTTTTTAAGTTAAAAATATATTACCAGATATTGCACAACGTAACATTTTATTTGGTGCAAATAATTGATTCAAAGCAAATGCCATCCGTTTTATATCATATTCGTTTTAAAAGTCTTCTTACTAAAGTTACGAAAAAAGAAAATTGAAAATTTCAAGAAAAATGTAGGTACAAAATTGGATTTTCTTTACACAATCATTACTTTTTGTGCTAAAGGCAAAGAGATCTGTGCACATACAGCCTAGCCGATCGAGTATATTTTATTTATATTTTTTTTTTTACATAATGATAATTAATATGTTAAAAAAATAAAATTTTTACGCATGGTCCTATAAAATCTTTGATTATAATAAAATATAGTAGGCTTGGGCAAAAAAATAGAAACCCTGTGGTTCCCGTTAAGTACGTTATCAGGATCATTATTCAAACGTATAGAAATTACTTTTCTTTAAAATCTCGAACAATATTTTTTTTTTAAATTTTATTTAATAAAAATAATTGTGTGCAAATTGTATGTGGTTTTATTACCTCTGCACTGTATGGGGAGTAAGAGGATTGTGAAAGACCATCATCATTCCTGTATATACTTATTATACTCTTTGTGAAAGACCCCGCTTTACTTACTTTAGCATCGGCTAGTGTCAGTAAGAGGTAATAAAACCACATAAAATTAAAAAAAAAAATATGGTCGAGTTTTTGAAAAAGTTATTTCTATAGGTTTGAATATTGATCCTGATAACGTACTTAACGGGAACCACAGGGTTTTTATTACAGGTTGTATATCGATTCGATATATATCGATATATATTCTTCCCATGCCCATCCCTAAAATATAGTAATCAGAGGCGCTTTACATCTGTGTTGTAAAGCGGCTCTGATTAGTCATGTGCATGTTTATTTACAATCTGACAGCAGGACATAAATAGATTAGAAACTATCAAATATTTGAGCGTTATAATATTATAGATTGGTTGGTTTCATTTATTTTTTTTATTACCACAAATTGGTTTACGCACCAATCTCAGCACATTCTGAGAAGCAGCTGGAGGAGAAATATGAGCTTATCTCTAGAGATAGACGCCTGTACTCTAGCCACTTAACATCTGGTGTCTTGTAAATTCTCTTTTCACTTAAATTAAATAAAAATTAAGGTATTGATAAGAGACACCAACAAAAATTTAGACTCAAGAACGAACGGTGAACTGAACCCGAGGGTACAAAAACTGGCAATAAGAAGGAGGAATACAATAGAACAGAATAGAAAAAAAATTTAGCATAGCAGAAAGTCATAAATGCTTTTACCAGATTTTTTATTATAGATTTAGATCGGGGATCGGAATCTAAACTCTGGGGAGAAAACCAGCGGGACACTTTATAAAAATAATTATTTACAATATTAATAATTGGATAATCCAAGTATTGAATATGTTAGAATATACCTAGTCAGGTCATAAATTCTGTCACATGTTTATGTTTATATAAAATAATTGAAACAAGTTTATTCATTATGTAACCATTTATATTCCCAACTTATAAGTCAGTTCCTCGGGGACTCCGCATACAAACGAGAACGCATTAATTTGGTGACAGCTACCGGTCAGCGTATACCCATCCGTGGAGAGAAGGAGATGGAGTTGAAGCTAGGTAATATGATCTACCTGCATAATGTCATCGCGGCTGATATAATGGATGACTGCATCCTGGGCCTAGACTTTATGAGGAAGAATTGTTGTGAGATCGACGTTAAGCAAGGTGTTTTTAAATGTGGACAAGAGGAACTTTTCGTGCAAGGGGCATTACCAGGGAATGTGTACAGCCTTAAAAAGCTTATTCTTCCGTCGAGATCGGAAACGATTGTGCCGATTAGTCTTCCTCGAAATCATGGGCAAACTCATCGTTGTGTACTCGTGGAAAGGTTCCTAGGAACCTTCCATGGAAAGTGGTTCAAACCTTGGTTAGAACCACTGACATCTCAGGTGTGCGTGTGCTTAACTTTTGTGATCAGGAACAGATTATAGAAAAAGGCACACTGGTTGGTACTTGTGATGAAGTGGATTGGTTGTGTCGGTACCAATATCTATCGACCAGCAAGGATGCAAAAACGAAAGTGACCACACTTTTAGAAGACTGTCGCTGCGTTCTCTCCCCGAATGAAATGGTCAAGGCGAAGGACATAGGAAAGACTGGCTTAGTTCAACACAAAATAAACACAGCAGAAGAATTACCTATCCGTCAGGGGCCAAGAAGATTGCCGGTAGCACGTAAAAAGGAAGTGGAAATCACGATTGAGGGAAATGTGACAGATGGTGTTACTGACACTTCATATAGTCCATGGTGTTCACCTGTGGTGCTGGTAAAGATGAAGGACGGCAGCATGCGGTTTTGTGTTGACTACCGCCGTCTGAACGACGTTACGAAGTAGGGCAGCTATCCCTTGCCAAGAATTGATGACACGCTAGACATGCTTATAGGAGTAAAGTGGTTTAGCACGCTGGACCTGAAAAGTGGCTACTGGCGGGTTGAAATTGACCCTAAGAACAAAGAGAAAACTACATTTTCGACAGGAAAGGGTCTGTGGCAATTTAAAGTTATGTCGTTTGGATTGTTCAATGCTCCAGCAACGTTTGAAAGGTTGATGGAGCTTGTACTTACCGGGCTAATTGGCGATGCCTATCTGGTCTACTTGGATGACATCATCATCGTAGGACGTATGTTTGAGATACACCTTCAAAACATGAAACACGTGTTCATGAAGATCCAGAGTGCTAACCTCAAGTTGAGTCCGAAGAAATGTTCACTTTACAAACGGCAAGTAAGCTTTTTGGGGTGTGTAGTCTCGGAAGAAGGTATCCGAATAAATTCAGAGAAAATTGCCGCTGCAAAGGATTGGCCGGTTCCAAAAGAAAAGACGCAGGTTAGAGCATTTTTGGGTTTGTGCTCCTATTATCGGTAATTTGTTAAAAACTTTGCACATATAGCCAAACTTCTGCACAAGCTGACCGAGGAGAAGCGACATTTCTGCTGGGATGAAAGTTGCGATATCGAGATCAAGGACCGTCCGCGCAAAACACCTATTTTGGGGTATCCTGATGCGGGCAAGGAATTTATAGTTGACACAGATGCAAGTGATATAAGATTTTGCGGTGTGTTGTCTCAACGGAATGGTGATCAAGAAGTGATAGCGTACTTCAGCAAGTCGTTGTCAAAGCCGGAAGGGAACTATTGTGTCACAAGACGGGAATTGCTTGCTGTGGTAAAGTCGTTGCAGCATTTTAGCAAATATCTTCTGAGGCTGAAATTTCACTGACCAGGCTGCACTGAAATAGCTACTGCAGTTCAAAAATCCAAAAAGACAAGTTGCGTGATGGATTGAACTACTGCAGGAATACGACTTTGTGATCGATCATCGCAGCGGGAAATCTCATGGCAACGTAGATGCATTGTCAAGAAGATCTTGTCCTGAAGATTGCAAGCATTTTACCAGGTAAGAGAGTAAGGAAGTGGTATCTGTGAGGATGCCCAGGACAGATCAGCTCAGCAATGAGTGGAAGGACAGCCTACAACATGCACAGCAGGAAGATTCGGATATCAAGCCCATTCTGAAATGGATGAAGGCCAGTGCTTCTAAGCCCAAGTGGAGCGACGTCTCAGCGATGATTTCGACCACGAAAAGCTATTGGGCCCAATGGGACAGCTTGATGATTCAGGATGAAGTCCTGTGCCGTAAATGGGAAAATGATTGGGGAGACAGTTGTCATTTGCAAATGGTTGTCCCTAAAGCTACCGGATGTTCTACAGCTGTACCATAAGAGTTGTTCAGGAGACGATCTGGGAGTTAAACGAACTTTACTGAAGATCCGAGAACGGTTTTACTGGGTCCACTGTCGTGACGATGTCGAGGACTGGTGACGCAAAAGTACAAGTTGTGCGGCTGCTGCAAAGGAACCTCAGACTCGTAGTAGAGGTGCATTGAAATTGTACAATGTTGGTGCACCATGGGAAAGGATATCCCTTGACGTTGCGGGGCCGTTTCCGGAAAGTGAAAGTGGTAACAAGTATTTCATGATTGTGATGGATTACTTCACTAAGTGGCCAGAAGTCTTCGTCATTCCAAATCAAGAAGCTTCAACAGTCACAGATAAACTAGTTCAGGAAGTTTTCTGTCGTTTTGGAGTTCCTTTAGAGATTCACAGCGATCAAGGAAGGAATTTTGAGTCTCAAATATTCCAGGAAACTTGCCGAGTTATGGATGCTCATAAAACAAGAACAACTTCTTACCACCCACAATCTGATGGACTGGTAGAAATATTTAATCAGACATTGGAGAGGTACCTGGCAAAAGTTGTGGAAAATCGGCAACGAGACTGGGACAAGCACATACAACACCACCTTCTCTGCTTACACTAAAAGAACTACTTTACGAACAGAACAACATCAGTTTTCTTATTCAGGCAGAATCTCAGTGTAGAAGTAATATTTTAGCCCAGCGGTCATAATAACGACTTGAGACTCGTAGGATTACCGACTGATCCCTCTTGGTCGACTGCGCGATACTTTATACTGCTAGAACAAGTGGGAGGTTACACTTCCACTCTCAATTATTTTTATTTTCCTTTATTATTTTATCCTCATTCCTAACAGCAGTCAGTAGTGAGTGGTAAACAGCAAATTACTCGTAAGTGGACGTGTTGTCGGTTAGTGTATCAAAAATCCAGTGTTAGTGCGTGCGAGTTTACTTTATACGAAACGTGCCTTACTAATAGCAGTTACGACTATAATCCCCTATGTTGTGCGAACTGTAAAAATAATATTATAAACTGTATCACCCGGTCACTGCCTGTGAACTCGGGGGGTACCTCACCTCACCCCCTGCACGATAAAAAACAATTGACATAATTAATGTCCCATTCAAGCGTCGCTTGCATCTGCATTGTTTGCATGTGTACATAGTTGCCGCGATTTTGAACTTAATATAAATAAATGCTCCGCCTGTCATACTAAGATTAAGGACTCTGAATGCATGCATTGTTGTGTCTGTGTGGCATAC